TTCCCCAACCAGGGATCAAACCTGGGTCCCCTGCATTGGGAGTGCGGAGTCTTACCCACTGGGCCACCAGGGAAGTCCTGGAACCTGTGAATACGTTATGTTACACGGCAAAGGAGAATTAAGGTCACAGATGGAATTTCAGGCTGCTAATCTGCTGACTGTAAAACAGGAAGGTTATGCTGGGCTCAATGTAATCGCAAAGGTGGAAGAGTGAGGCAGAAGAGAGAGAGCCAGAGAGATGGCAGCATGAGATGGCTTGGCTCGATATTGTTGGCTTTGAAGATGGAGTGAGCGCCAAGGAAAGCGGCTGGCTTCAAGCAGCTGAGAAAGGCAAGGAAGCAAAAGCTTCTCTAGAGCCTCTAGAAAGGATGGAGCCCTGCAGACACCTTGGTTTTTGCCCAGTGGGACCCAAGTTGGACTTCTATTTGACAGAACTATAAGATAATAAATTTGATGTTTTAAGCCGTTAAGTTTGTGGTAATTTGTTACGGCCCCAATAGGAAACAAAAGCACCAGGACACCTAGAGGGTCCACGTTGTAGGTGAGACTCCACTTTACTGCTGGAATCAACCTCCAGACGACATGTGACATGATTCCAGTCGCTCCAGCCTTTGTGAGTTTCCCAGCCAAGGGCCCAGAGAAGAGCAGTACCCACTTCGCCTGGCCCAAATTCCTGACTCACAAAATCTATGAGTATAATAAAATGATTGTTTTTATGCCACTAAGCTTTGGGTGGTTTGTTATGCGGCACAGAAACTGGAACAGCGATCCACCTTAGCCTTGAACTTGAGTCAGACGGAACTGGGAAAACAACACACACTGTTGAACCCAGAGCTCCCATCCCATCATTAATATTATTTTTAACTAAACCCTGAACTGAACAGAAGGAAACAGCGCCAAAATTGAAACTGAACTTGTGTATTTTTTCAAGCTGTTGAACTAGAATATTCAAATATTCTTGAGACAGTCGCAAAAAGAATGCTACCCTAACCCCTTCACTCCGTATATTTTGATTTGCCTAAGGTCACATGGTCATGGCAGAGCTTAGAGATTCTTAATCTTTAAAAACATTTTGTTTTACAAAGCAGCCAGCTGTGACTCTCTCTACCCTCCTTACCTTCCTTCAGAGAACATACCCTTATCAAAGTTTGCTGAATAAAGGAAGGACTGAGCTGTGCCTGGGAGATGTGAATTTCTCACCATCCAAGGACAAGGGAGTTCCAGCCTGAACCCGATTCCTTGGGGGTCCCCGAGTGGAAGCTCTGTGCCCTTGGCTGAGAAATTGGAACTTTCCATCAGGGCCAGTGATCCTCAGTATTTGAGTAGCCAGGCTGGGGTGTGCTGGGATCCAGGTGGCCTTCATCTCGTCTGGATCAGGACAGCACAGTTTGTGGCCTTCCCCCAAAGCAAAAGGAGGGGGGAGACTGAGGAGACTTGGGGCCCCTGGGGAGACATTCCTCTTTCCAGAGCTTTATCACTTTTTCCATAACAGTGCCCTCCCTTCAAGGTGGAAAGTCGCAGCTGGCGGCTGAGGATACTCTCAATGTGCTTTTGTTCTCCACCCTGCCCCCAGCCCAGGCAGCAGGGTGCTGGGTAGACACCAGCCTGCGCCGGACTTGCTGTACTGTCGGACAGTGCGATATAGTTGAGCCTTTCACACCATGGGACTAGACTTCCCTGGTTCGAATCCTGGCTATTTGCTAACTGTGCAACCTTGGCAGGGTATCTACTATAGTTTCTCCATCTGAAAACTGGCATGGTGATAATATGAGCAGTTCTGAGGATTTAATATGCAAAAAGCACTTAACACTGCACCTGATACATGGTAAGAGTGATGGAACTGTTTGCTGTTGTTATTACATGACCTTGGGAGATTCTTCTTTCTCTGGGCCTCAGTTTCCCCAACTGTACAATGAAGATGGCAGTTCCTACCTGCCTCTTGACAGCTGATCTGGGTGTGAATCCTGACTACCCTTTCTTGCTGTGTGGTCTTGGACAAATTTCTTGTGTTCTCTTAGCCTCAATGTGCTCATCTGTTATCTGTTAAATGGTACCTATTAAGTAGATGGTGATGATGAAATGAGAAAACGTGTACCAAGCATGGAGCATGGGGCCTACCACATAGAAAGAGCTAAAACAAAGTTAGCTTTTTGCTTTTTTTTTTGTTTATTTTTTGTTTTGGTTTGTTTTTATGTCTGAGAAAGAACTTTCTAAACTATAATAGGCCACGTCCCTGGGAGGAATATTGTGGTTTTCTTACATGCTTTCCCAGCCATGCCTTATTTACAGACTCCTAGAATCAGAGAGATCAGGTTTGGAAGGGCCCTTTTACAGATTGGTTAATTAATCCATTCCACAAATATTTAGTGATCCCCTACGATGAGCCAGGTACTGATGCAGGTGTTGAGGAGAGAGCAGCACCAAGGGTTTTGCCCTTGCGGACCTCTCATTCCTGTGGGGGAGGCAGACAGCAAGCATGTGAGTACATGAATATATGCTACAAGCTCAGATTCAATCCCTTTATGTTACAGATGGGAAAACTGAGGCCCAAGAAGGGAAGAGAGTTTCCTAAAGTCCTCCAGTGTGTTAATAGGGCAAAGACTCCCAAGCGAGTCTTCACGGTCTCAAAATATCTTACCCTAAAAAAACTCTGGTTTCCCTAATGTTTTAAGATATGATAGCAGGAACCAGCATTTCCTGAATCTTCCTAGACACAGGAACTGTTATAAGTACTTGACCCATCTTAAGTCATTTAATCCTCACATCAATCCTGAGGGAGGGAATTGTCATGAATCCCATTTTATAGATGGGGAAACTAAGGCACAGAGAGATGGAGGGGAGCAGGGGTTGAATACTGACCCCCTGGTTTAGGGCCCATGCCTTCCACCACTGTGCTGTCTTGCTGTGTTGGCTGCATACTCACCCCTGCATCTAGTCTGCACTATTTCTTTCTTTCTTCCCTCCCCCGCCTTCCCCCAATCCTGGTCTCAATGATTTCTTCCACAATCTGAGTAGCTTTGGGTACTCCCTTTCTGGCCCGCAATTTCCCCATCTGTGAATTAAGAGGATTATTTTCATGACCACCCTGATTTTTAGCACCTTATCAGTTTGTAATTATTTTAATCATATACGTGTTTTCTAGTCTGTTTTCCCCACCAGACTGTGAGCTCCAGGGAGCAACACCCTACTCCTTCATCACTATGTCCCTAGAACCTGGCACTGTGCCCTGCACTTAGTAGGCCCTCAGTTAATATTTGAGGATGAAGAAAGGAAGGAATCACGCTGATTGTCCCCAGGTTTTTCCAAACCAGCTCCTGCGCTCTCTCCCTGGCCCTCTTCCTTTCTCAGCCTGTGGGGCCTCCTCCCTCCCTCCCTCTCACCTCCCAGGGCCGGCTTGGGCCCTCCATCCGGCCTGCATTTTTCTGGGTTTGATATCATTTTTTCCACTCTCCCGGGCTGCTGCCGGCTGCCTCTGCCAATTTTCCACAACTATAGCCCCTCCCCCATGACCACAGGCCTCCAGAGACAGCTTAGGGTGGGGGAAGACCCTCCTCCTTTTCCCTTCCCTGGGCTGGAGTTGGGATAGGAAAGTAAGTGCCATCAGTGCCCTGCTGGCAAGATTGGGGGGTCACAGCTGGAGGATGGCTCGCCTGCTTGTGCTTTGGTGTTCCTGGCAGCAGGGACATGGCCGACGTGGGGGGCTGAGGCATCTGGGCAGGCAGCTGGCTGGGGGCAGGGGTGTCAGGCATCAGGGACACAATGGTCCAAACTGTTTGCATCATGTTCTCCTCTCAAAGTAGTGACACCACTTCCCCTTATGCTGGAAACTCCTGACCTGACCCCCAAGGCCCATCCCCAGCCATGATGCCTCACTACCTCCGACTTCCCACACAGACATAGGAGGAGGCTGGGCCCTGAGGTCTGGTCCTTACCCTTACTGGCTGGGCGACTGTGGGGTGCTCACTTTCCCTCTCTGGGCTTCAATTTCCACAGCTACAAAATGGAATGAGTCGGACTAAATCGGGGGTCCATCCTGGGGATTAATGGATTGAGTTTCATGGAGTCCACCTGCCCCCTTTAAATTGTGTGCAAAATTGTGTTTGAAAGTCCATTTCCCTGGGAGTCTATAGTTTTTTGTCACATTCTCCAAGAGAACTGTGGATAAGCTGGCCACAGACTCTAGTCTCACAAGCCTGGGCTGGAATCCTGGCAACCTCACTTATAGCTGCTGTGTGATCTGGAGCATAAGCCTTCACTGTTCTATGCCTCTGTTTTCTAACTAGTTAAACATGGGTTATGAAGATTAACAGTTGTGACAGCTTAGTACCCAGTCAGCTCCCAACAAACACCAGCTATTGTATTGCTAGGATGAGGGCGAAGATTTTTTTTTCAGAGAATATTTTGTGAATTTATAATCTAAAAAAACGAGTTAATGAGAGAATAGAAGGTCATCACACTAAACTGTGGTTGCTTGTGCTCCACTGTGTCTCCCTCAAAGTCGTGGGACAGGGGCTGTGCCCAGTGGTTCAGAGAAGGGCCTGAATGCATAATTGGTCCGGTGATTTTATTGACTAACCCTGACACCCAAGTCAGCAGGCCAACCCAGTCTGCAGCCCGTGTAGATGAAAAAGCGGGAGGTGGAGACGCCTGAAAGAGCCCAAAAGAAGAGATCTGGGCACTCAGACAGGACATCCTTCTGGTCTGGTTTATTGTGGGGGAATTTCTGAGGGTTGGCCAGAGCCCAAGGACAAGGAAGACTTTTTTACAAAAAGACACGCACCGCATGAAAACCCCCATTTAGGCTTTGGCCCCATGGTCTGTCCATCACTTGCCCAGGGCAGAGAGGTCCGTGAAGCTGTGGCTGGGGAGATGCTCTGTACGTTGGGGGAGTGGGCGGCCAAAGCCCACGATGCAGACTGCAAGCCACAGAGACTCTGCCTCTCCGTGGCCCTGGTGGAGGCTAGAATGCACCCCAGTGCCCCCCACCCAGAGAGTGGGCGGGTGGCCTCAGAGCACGGCCAGGTTGTGGCAGGACTTGGAGCGGGCCTTGAGTGCCCGGCGGCGGGCGCTGCGGGCAGTTAAGCGCGCCAGGAAGTGTCGAGCCCGCTGGCCTAAGCTTGCCCGTCGTCGGGGGGCCGGCGGCTCCCGGCCTGCGCAGTTCCCGCGGCGCAAGCGCAGTTGGCGCACTACGCCTTCGAAGAGCTCCGCCACGTTGTGCTGCAGCGCGGCTGACGTCTCGATGAATTTGCAGTCGAACACCACAGCGCAGGCGCGGCCCTCTGAGGGGGCGGGGTCAGTGAGCCAGGGCGGAGCCACAACCGGAAAAAGGAGATAAAGGTAGCAGGAGGTGTGTTCAATCTCAACCGGAAGCACGATTTTTCCTTTCCCCATACCTCGTGCTGCGTGCTAGGGGACTCAGAGATAAATCTGGCTTTGAGGAGCTAGTTCACAGGTTAGTGATTGATACTGATAGCAGAATGAGGCTGGGAAGACCGGGAGGTCCCACGGAAGGGTCTTGACTGCCAGGGAAGGGGTCTAATCTGTGTATCAGAATTGTCTGGGGGAGCTTGTTAAAATGCAGGTTGCTGAGCCCACCCGCAGATATTCTAATTCCGTAGGTGAGGCCTGGGAACCAGCGATTCAACAAAATCTCCTGGGGATCATGTTGCAGAATTTTGGGACGTCTGCTCATAAAGCATATGGTCTTCCGTCTCCAGGATGCCACTGGGCTGGATGCAGGGGCCTGGGGTCTAGTCCTCAGTGGCTGGTGACCCTGTAGAACTGGCCTCCCCACTCTGGGTCTCAGTTTCCATATTTTTTAGATTTCGCCCTGTGAGTAGGGCCATTTTTAGATCTTTATGGGTCCCACCTGATACATCAATTGTATTAAAATATTCCCCATCCCACTTTAAATACAATTTAAGTACAACTTTAAACATTTTGGTTTGCAGTTGCTGGCTGACACAGTATTATGTTTTGTACACAAAGCTCTGTGAAATTTGAATTTATAATTTTCTCACTGTATTTTGGAGTCAATAATTGTCTTTTTCAGGTCTCAGATGTAAGCCCTTGAAAAGCTTACAGGCACTGGGCCTGTCATGCCTGGTGAATAAAGTGTCTCAGACTAAGGGCATTGGGGCACATAGGGGAATTTTTAGGCAAAGAAGTGACAAGGTCAGCTCTGGTTCGGGGAAACTCTGGCAGCTGGTGAGGAGAACCGATTGAGTGGGGATAGAGAAGTACCAGGGTTGGCCCAGGCTACAGTGGAGATGCCAGGATGGGGCAGAGGCTCTGGGCATGGGGTCAGGAAGGGAATGTGGGGTTAAGGGAGGTGGACCCGACAAGGTCTGGGGACTGGTCTGAGGGAATGAGAGAGGAGGCAAGCCAAGAATGGTTTCTAGCTTTCAGGCTTAGGCAAGTAGATGCAGGATGGAGGTGGCCGGGGTGGGGGGTGGGGCACGAGTCACTGAGATGAGGAGCACTGGAGGAGACGCAGTGACAACAGGGCTAAGAGAAAGATGGAGGAGGAGGGTGGAGTGGAGGGCTCACCTTCCACGGAGACTTCCCGGCAGCGTGCCAGGTCCGCCTTGTTGCCCACCAGGATGATGGGCACGTGGTCCGCCTGATACGTGCGCCGCAGCTGAATGCGGAGCTCAGAGGCACTCTCGAAGCTGCCCCTGTCTGCGATGGAGTACACGATAACGTAGGCGCTGCCCACCTGCAGGCACGACTCCTGGCTCCAGCTTTCATCCTGTAGGGGAGGGAACCCAGGCCCATCCTCAGACGGTACCTGGGCCCTGGCTGAGAAAGGAGGGGCTGGGATGGTCTAACGGGTGGGATAGGGCTGAGGTTGATACTTTGGACAGGTTGGGGGACAAATTCTGCCATAATTCCCTGTGTCACCTTGGGAAACCACCGATCTTCTCTGAGCCGCAGTTTCTCTGCTTGAAAAATTGGGCTAATGACAATACCTCACTCCATTCTCTCATTCATTGGTTCCTTCTGTAGGCCGGCCACTGGAGACAAAAGATTTATTGGGTTCTGCTAGGGAGACTTCTGGCTTTGCCTTTTCAGCTCTTTTGTCTGGTTTGAGGAGGGTTTGGTCTTGCTAGACAGTCCTTTTGGCTTTTTGCAGTCCAGAGTTAAGAAAAAAAAAGGAAGGGAGAGAAGTGGGGACAGGAGGCTATCTTCCAGGGGAGGTGTTTTTCTGGATAGTCTTGAAGAGAGAGTTGAAGGAGCAACTGTGGCATGTAAGGGAAGGGGGTGAGAGAGGAAAGGGGCATTTTAAGAAGTAGAGTCCTTTCAAGATGTTTGACAAGGAAAGGAAAGAACTGGAGTAATTTTGATATTGTTTTGGATGACGGTCTTTTGTCAGGGACAGCACTCCGAGACTGAACCACCTAGGTAATGGCTTTCTAAGTGTTTCTAAGTGTTTAAGGAGACACAGTTCCTGCCCTCCAAAAGCTCACGATTAGGAAGGAGATGCTATGAAAATGGAGAGATATAATGCAGTGTGATAAGTACCATTAAGAGAGGCATATGCAGGGACGTCCCTGGCAGTCCAGTGGTTAAGACTCGTGCTTCCAATGCAGGGGGTGCGGGTTCGATCCCTGGTCAGGGAACTAAGATCCCACATGCTGTGCAGCTCGGCCAAAAAAAAGAGAGCCATATGCAAGTGGCTGGAGGACCCATGGGGCTTGGGGCGGGGGTAGACCAGAAGAACTCAACTGGGCAGAGTGTGGGAGGGCTTCACAGTGGACTGGTGAGTGGGGTTAGAAAGGATGAGCAGGCTGAGTAGGAGGAAAGAGAGGGGGCAGGAGTGGGAAATGCCGAGCGTGGTAGAAGTATTGTTTGTGAGGGGAAAAGAAGCCAGAAAAGTTTTCTCATAAACAAATAAGGTAGATAAGTAGGAAAGCATCGGATCCACGGTCAACATCATTGTCAAAAGGGGTAAGTTCTGAACAGCTGTACTGATCCTTCCCCGAGGCCAAATAACCCTGAACTGAGTCAGACAGATGTGGGTTCTTATTCTGGGTTCTTAGCTTTGACTGTGGACAGGTTCCTTCCTCCCTCGAGTCTGTTTTCTCATTTGTAGAATGAGCGGGTGGGTCTTGACCATTCATTCATTCATTGCACAAATATTTATGGAAGATTTGCTACATGTTAGCATCACAAAAGCTGGTTGGTACATGGACTGGTGGGTAAGAACCCCTTGGGGGTGTGATTAAAAATGTGGATTCCAGAACCCCACTTTTATAGGTTCTATTTCATTAGGTCTGGGGTGAGACTTGAGAATCTGATTTCTAATACTCTTCAGGTGACCCTGATGGTCAGCGAGGCTGGGGTACTACTGGATGAACCAAAGGCCCTCCCAGTTCTGTCAGATTTTGCCTCTTTGACATCAACATGGACCCTCTCTGCATGGACCCTCTTTGGGAACTGCCTTTACAGACACTGGCCAGGGAAACTGTAGGGA